CTTTTACACCTGTACGAGCCCTTCTCTAACTTATGCATGGGATCCTCCCACAGAAACAATGCACCCGCTCTCTTCCTTTTTCCTACCATTTCTTCGCTCCCCTCCGCTTCGATCGGTTCCATCCACCTTCGCTTCTGCCGCTGCTAATTGAAGCTGTTCCCCGCTCGTCGCGAACGAGTAGTAGTCTCCTTTTTACGCTTCTCGAGCCGACTCTCTCTCTCTCTCTCTCTCGATTCCGCTTGGCCCATTTTCCTCTATCTTCCGTCGACGCGGGACGACGATCCGTTTCCGCGAATCGCTAGAAACGTCGAAGAAGAAATTCTAGTTAAACGGCAACAACGAATTAACTGTGCGCCTCGAGCGGTCGCGAATCAGAAACGCGCGCGGCGAGGTTTCGTGGAAACGCAGCGCGGAAATCTGGCCGAGTTAACTCGTTTCGCCTCGTCTCGCGAACGCGTTAAACGACGTTGCGTGCCGACGACGATAATCGCGTCCGTTCCGTTTTTCTTTCCGAACAGCTTTCGCGAGAGCAGCGTCGCCGGGAGCTGTCGGCTCGACGAATCCCTTCGATCGATTTCTCCTTCCTTATTTGCCCCGGACAACCTCGAAATCCCTCAGTTTCACACTCGATGTGAGACTGACCCCTCGTGCTTGACCCGCGCCGCAGGAGACGAAACGGGGACAAGGATTACTCGCTCGTTCGTCCGACAGGCTGTTTCTTCTCGTTTTCGAGCCTCGATTTTCCTACGGCAGATACGTTTACACCGATCCCCCCGTCGCTCCTATAAGTTTCCCGGGATTTCGTGAACTTTAGGGCACCGACGCGGAAACCCTGCCGCTCGTTTGCTCCCTTGCATTTTCTTCCGGCAATCGAACCTCGGACCAGAGAGATCTACTGACCGGTTCCAATTTTCCGTTTCGATTCTCGCCGACTCTCGCCATCGATCCTTCCGAATCCTTCCTAATCGCACCGATCTTTCTTTTCGCGCGTCCGCGACACTCTCTCGCGACCGTTCGCGAATCGCCGATATACGTTCGATTTCCATCGAACCGACGCTATCGCGGTGTTTGTTCCGAAGAGGGAGGGTTTCTTTCGAACGGTCGCGATTAAACGACCTGTATTTTCTGCTTTTTTTTTTTCCTTTTTATACTCTCGATCGGCAGTTCGGAGACAGCTGCGGCGAACCGCGAGGGATTAAAGCGAAAATCTCGTTGACTCGGAACGAAGCGAAGCGAGATGATCTTTGTCGAGAAGAAGGAGCTCTCCCCGAGAGAAGAGAGGGAGAGAGAGAGAGAGAATCCCTGTCCCGTGGACCCAGAAACGGGATTACGCGAAATCCCGGTCACTTTTATACCCAACGTACATCTTGCCCGGGACACGATTATCCGAAGCTCTTGCTTTCGATTTCGATTTCGATTTCTCTACCCCCTCTTGGCCTCTCTTCTATTCGCCACCGTGCCGTTCCACGATCGTTCAAACAGCCATTTGCTAGCCAGCTGCCGTCGACTCGGTTTAACCTCGTCTCTCTTCTGCTCTCGAACCTATCCGGATTTAATACGCCGTGAAACGAGAAGCCTTCTTCGTGGAAGTAGAAGATTTTTCGAAGCAACCCCTTGTAAAACGCCTGCTCGCGTCCTCGCGCTCTCCGCGTCGACCGCCCCCTCTTCCGCGATTATTCCGAACGGTTCGTTATCGTTACGAACCTGGACAAACTTAATCAATATTAGCCATTCGAGTAATTATGCCGCGCGATACGAAACGTTTCTTTCGTACCGTAATATCGATATGCGGGTAATCGAGCCGTATTATTAAGTAATCGGTTGTACCATGATTTTATTAGCCACTATGCGATTAACAATTTATTCCAATAAATGTAACACCTGTATTAACTGGGAAATGTATTTCTGTGCAGGTTCCTTCACGCTTCCGGATGCAGCCACGAGACCAAAGGTCATCTTCGTCCACGAACACCGACCCAAACCTCCCACGCTATCGCGTATGCAGATATCCCATAAAAAAACACTGTTATTATTGTAATAAACGTATAACAAAGTAAATTGTATATTGCGAGATGTATTTTGAGAAAAATATGAATAAATCTGTATTATTGAAAAATAACACAGCCTCTCTTTGTTTATTGAAAATCCAACCAAAATCCCATTCCCTTGCGTTCCTCGCTGAAATAAAAATAAAACCGAACGAAAAAAATAGTTTAAAAAAAAAAATCGATAAAACAATCGCATGCGTTGAATCTGACATTTGTGTCGAGAGAATATCGGCTGCAAGCAGGCAAAACGGTAATTTAGAAAGAATTCGGAATTTCGAAATTCGGTATCAGGAGCACATAACGCGTGAGGAGGTGGCACAGAAAATTTTTTGAACCTAAATTCGGGATTTTGAAATTTGGTATCAGGAGCACATAACGCGTGAGGAGGTGGCACAAAAATTTTTTGATCCTAAATTCTGGATTTTGAAATTTGGTATCAGGAGAACATGAGTCGCAAGGAGGTGGCACAATAATTTTTCGAAACCGATTTCTCGATTTTGAACTTTGGTATCAGGAGAACATGAGTTGCGAGGAGGTGGCATACAAAATTTTTTGAAGCCGAATTCTGAATTTTGAACTTTGGTATCAGGAGAACATGAGTCGCGAGGAGGTGGCACAGAAATTTTTCAAAACCGAATTCTCGATTTTGATCTTTGGTATCAGGAGAACATGAGTCGCGAGGAGGTGGCACAGAAAATTTTTTGAACCTAAATTCGGGATTTTGAAATTTGGTATCAGGAGCACATAACGCGTGAGGAGGTGGCACAAAAATTTTTTGATCCTAAATTCTGGATTTTGAAATTTGGTATCAGGAGAACATGAGTCGCAAGGAGGTGGCACAATAATTTTTCGAAACCGATTTCTCGATTTTGAACTTTGGTATCAGGAGAACATGAGTCTTAACCTACAAAAACATGTATTTGCATATTTACTTATTTATAAATACCGTCATTCCGATTGCCAGAAATTGCCCCAAATTTTAAAAAATAAATAATAAATAAAAAACCAAATATTAAGAATATATATCAGGAGTACATGCATTATGAGGAGGTATTCTTTGTGCTTCGTGGAATTTATGACGTCAAATTCCAAGAATTCCCGGGCGGGATTTTTGAAATTCCAGCCACCGATTTTAGGAATTTGTATCAGGAGAACATAAGTTGCGAGGAGGTATCCTTCGTGCCACTTCCTGGAATTTTGATGACGTCAAATTCCAAGAATTCCCGGGCGGGATTTTTAAGATTCCACCGACCAATTTTGAGAATTTGTATCAGGAGAACATAAGTTGTGAGGAGGTGGCACAATAATTTTTCAAAGATTTTGAACTTTGGTATCAGGAGAACATGAGTCGCGAGGAGGTGGCACGAAGATTCTTTTGAAGCCGAATTCTGAATTTTGAACTTTGGTATCATTTTGAAATTTGGTATCAGGAGCACATAACTGTCGAAGAGGTGGCACGCGGAATTTTCGCATCCAAATTCTCGATTTTTTGAAATTTGGTATCAGGAGAATATAATACGTGAGGAGGTGGCACAAAGATTCTCCTGATCCGGGACTCGGTTTTTGAAATTTGGTATCAGGAGCACATAACCAACGAAGAGGTGGCACGCAGAATTTTCGCATTCGAATTCTCGATTTTTTGAAATTTGGTATCAGGAGCGCATAACCAACGAAGAGGTGGCACGCAGGATTTTTGCATCCGAGTCCTCGATTTTGAAATTTGGTATCAGGAGCGCATAACCAACGAAGAGGTGGCACGCAGTATTTTCGCATCCGACTTGTCGATTTTGAAATTTGGTATCGAGAGAACGTGACTGGCGAGAAGGTAGCATGGTTTATTGAATTTTGTTACATGGATTTGACGGATCATTTTGTTCTTTGCGATTTTAATATTTTGTCAGCTCTTTTTATGAAATTTTTTAAAGGTATTGTTTTGCTGTTTTCTTTTGTTTTTTATTGTTAATAGATTTTTCATTGTCGCTGGATCAAGGATTGGGACATGAAGGGGAAAGAAATGATTAAGACATCGAGTACTTTTCAACAAGTTGCATTTATTGTATACCATTATTTTACAAAAAATTCTTTTTTCAATACAATTACAAAAGTTCATGTCGCGTAAAATTGTTGGTGGCGTCCGTTCTCCATAGGGCAGTAGGTGGTGGCGGACAGGTGGATCTGTAACGGAGAAGAAAAAGATTAAGAGATGGTCGTAAACGATGTTAGCGTTAAAAGAGAATAATAGACGCGATACTGTTAGCGGAATATGCAATTATCGAACTAATCTATTTTCGAACGTGTAATTGTACGGATAACGATCAAATACGGTGTTTAAGGTGATCTTTAGAGCGCGATCGAGACACCCCCGATGCGCGTCCTTCCCCTTCGGAGGCTGGCGCGAGACTGAGGAGCGCAGCTTCCAAGTGCTCCTTTTATAGCAAAGCTCCGGTATCGATCACGGCCGCTGTTCGTTCGGCTTCGCGATTCGTAGAAACACGAGGAACAGCGACGCGCGATCGCGAAACGAATGAACGATTAAAAAACTGTCGGAGAAATAAGGAAATTGTATGGAAAAGCGAAGAATACCTTTGAGTTATCCGTGGACGGTGGAGGACGACGTCGATCCGCGATCGTGGAGTAATCGCGATTTCTCGCTCGGAAGCTCCTTATTTCCCGGCGTCTGGTCCGGATATCGATAGCTATCTACCGGCAGCAGGGAATTTATTCGCTTTCGCGAGAACCGGCGTACCTTTGATTTACGCGCAAACGCCTCGCGTCGACTCCGATAAGACTTAATTAAGTCGCGGCTGTTAATTAATAAGAGAAGAGAAGCTCGAACGAATGGTCGCGCGGCTTCCGATCGGAAATTATTCTTCCCTGTTGGCAACGAAAAGAGAAGAAAAAGGTATTCGTCAGCGAGCCGAGATACCCGATCTACCACACAACCCAGAAAGCTTAATGCGTGAATTATCGTTTAATTTATTTTAAGTTAAAACCTTTTTTTACAATAATATCTTACAATGTCGCTTTTTACATTCGAAATAATATCGCCGCGATACATCTCCCGACCCACTGTGGTCGATTTTCCGTCGACGAAATCTCTCCCTTGTCCTCGTCCTCCTTCTTCTCCGGTTCCACGCTCCCTTAGAAATCGTAATACCTCTACGCGGCTGTATATCCGTGCGTACGAGTGTCCGTGTGTGTGTGTGTTTGTGTGTTTTTTTTATACAGTCTACACGCTACTCCCTAATAATACTATTATTAGAATAACCTCCCCCTCTGTGCCCACTCGCGCGAACTCGTCGTCTCTTTCCCTCCGTCGTCGCGAGAAAAGGGGGTGGTTGTTCGGCAAAATTTCTCGCCAGAAAGTATCGCTCTTCCCGGCTGGATCGTAGTCCGTCGTCCCGTTCCCTCTTGCTTTTCAGTCTTTTTCGGAAAAATCGTCTCGGCTTATAGTCGACTCGGTTCCCCCTCGCCCGTTCCGCGAGTTCCCGAAAACCACGAGATTGGCTCGAACGATCGTCGATAGTTCGATATCGGTGCGAGACCCGTGGTCGACGCGATCGAGCCAATTCGAGCCGTCTCCGTTATCCTTAAAACACCTTAAACATCGAAAAAACAAAGGATCACAATGTGGTCTGGACTCGCGATAACGTCCGCGGTCGAGTCTGTCCGCGATTAATTAATTAATTGGAACGATTAATGAATAATCGGCGATCGGTCGATCGACGACGACGATAATAGTAATAAGAATAATAATGATAATCGTCATTTACGGCTATTAACCTTTTCGCTCGCGATAAATCGTTTTAATTACCATCGCTCGACTATCTAGATGCAAATCTTACGATGCGCAATTAACCGCTAATTTATGCACAATCACTTTTACTCCTCTCTCTCGACGCTTTGCCAGCCGTGCTGCGGGCCGTTGCTATTATTTATATTTTTATTTGCATATAGATTTTTATATATATATATATATATTTATTTGTTTGTTTATTCATTTATTTATCTGTATATTTATATTCATTCGTATAGATTTTATTTATATATTTATATACTATCATTACAGTGATAACGGTACACAATCTCGAAGATACAAAATTTACAACGCGTCCTTCCGCAAATTTTCTCGCTTTTCGCACACGTTTTCTCCGTTGAACAATCCTGGCTCGTCCCTGTCTCTAATCCGCGGGCTGGCTGTTCCACGACAGGACGATCGACTCGATCCGGATTCGCCGGAAATTCGATATAATTTACGGATTTACGCTAGGTGGTTTTTACGTTTACTCGTTCGCTGGCTAGCGCTAGCCGGTACGACGCGCGACGCCGACGGACCGTCGATCTTTCCCGTCTCTCTTCTGCCGAATAAATAAAACGCGCTTCGTCCCGTTTAACGCAGACGCGCGAAAATTTCTTTATCCCCCGATCGATCCAACGATCGAACGATCGATCGACGAATAAACGCGTTTGCGCGAGACGCGACAGGGAAAACGAGGAGAATGTACGTCGAAGAGAGACCGACAGGATCGACGTTCGAACGACGCGACCGCGTTAATAAAAACACTGTTAAAATTGCACGATGTCTCTCGATTTTCGTCGAATGCACGCTCGAGACGTTCCAGCGGTCTCCGAAGATCGATTCCGATTCGCGAGGGCTTCATACCCTTTCACGTTTTGTCGCTTCGTTTTGTTTTCGTTAGAAAAAGCCCGATATCGAACATAATTCGTTTACACCCTGTGAGAAAGAATCGTCTTCGAAGGCTTCGCGTCGAAACGAGAATCGGAGCGGGCGCGCGCTCCGATATCGTCATTCACACCACACAACACGCACATAATATAAACTCTTGCATTTAATCGTATAAGTGTATCTATTATATGTACAGGCGCGTATAATAAGACTCGATACAAGTTAGCTGACTTCGTTTGTACTTGGGGCCTGGGCTCGATGGCCCTACGATGAAACTTTACATATTTACAACGACGCGAGACCGCAACAACAACGGGAGAACGGAAAGATGAGAGAAACCGGAGGAAAAGTTTCGGGGCGATCGCGACGTAACGGATAACAAAGGGTATTTCGATGATTTTTTTTTAGGGGTGTTCGCGGAGAGTAACGTGTTTTCCCTGCTCTCGAACGTCTCCCGTTCGTCGCTAGGAGAGAAAGAGAGGAGCTTGACTTCGTTTTATTTACGATAGAACAAGAGTGGTGGGCTGCGTCCTGAGCTGCTGATCACTCGCGATTCATGTGTACTCCGATCGCCAACCGGTCTGAAATCAGACAAACGAAAATCGATCTCTCTCTCGTGCGCCGCGAGCGAAACGATCGATTCGAAGGGTTCTCGATAGGTCGAGCGCGCACTCACCATCGCGTTCGTCGTGGCGGCCAACTGGAGACCCTGAAGACTCGTCATGTGATGGGAATGGGAATGCGAATGCGAGTGCGGGTGGATGGGAGGCGGCGCCGGTGGTGCAAATCCTTGATGAAGACCTCCGGCCACGCCGACACCCGTGTGATACATGTAATGCTGCATCGCCGGATGCATCGTGTGATGATGCTGCGACGTACCTGCAACCACCATGGACCACGCCTTGTTCGTTTTTCGTCTAATCACCAGCGAACCGACGCGTTAAGGTTCGCGTTATCGCGGAAGCGACGAACAAAACGCAACGGGAGAACGAACTTACTCATCGGTGATCCGAAGCCCGAATGGAAGGGCTTGTTATCGAGATCGAGATGACCACTGGCCTTGATCATATCGCCCATCACGCCGCCGAGGCCTAAGCACCCGCCGGCCTTCTTCTTCTTGCTCTTGGACGAGAGCTTCCTGTTCCTCGTCTGAATGCCCTCCTTCTTCATCGTCAGCGGCCGGTTCACCTGCAAGAGTCGTAGCCAACAATTCGTTGAGTTGAACGGTATATACCTAACGCGGACAACGCGCGCGGCTTCCGATCGCGATTTCGAGACGAACCCTTATTTAATCGGAACGCCGACCGGGGAAGGAACTTTCGGCGCGGCGAAAGGCTACGAGACGCTCCGACGTAATTCGACAAATTCGAGCAATCGCGTAATTCCGAAAAGTGTCGTTGACCGTCTGGACGTTGGCTCGGGTGGCGGTGCGCGACGACGACAGCGACGAGAGGAAGAGTACGAGAAAGAAGAAGGGAAGAGCGGCGCGAGCCGAGGGAGGACGAGGGAGGATGATGCCTCCACCGCCACCTCCAGAGGCTCGTTCGCGCATCCCGCAATACCAGGAACCTTTTCCTTAAGTTGGCAGTTGCGTCACGTCGCGGCAACTACAAAGCGTACGCCTCCTCCGCCTCCTCCCACCTCCTTCTCGTTGCGCTTCCCTTACTCCCCTTCGTGCACGCCGATGCACACTCGCATACCTACTTACTTATTTCGTACTCGAGCGGTCGCCGAGACCGCGTTCCAACCACTCTCTGCGACGCTAATAATTATCGTTGATTCGCGCGTTTATGAAGTTGTCCGATTGACCGTGGTCGAGAACGATCGGGAGAGATATTCGCGAACCGACCGATCAATCGCGGCGCATAGTTTCAACGGGGCGATTTGACATTCAGGTTGGATCGCGAAGATGCATCGTGAATCACGGACAATGAAGCGGCCCCATGAATAAACAAAGGATTATTAAACGCGCGTCGGATACGCGTACGAGCGATGGAACTTCCTTCTGCTTTCCTTTCGTCGTCCCGGCGCGCCGCGAACGGAATCCTTTCGATTTTCGACGCTTCCAACTTTTCCAAAGACCGCGACTAGGACGAGAATCGTATCGGGTCGAACGGACGGATGAAGCTTAATGAGCGAGCGCAAGAGGAGAGAGGTCGCGAAAGCTCGATTTGAATACAATACGAGAACGGGCTTTAATAGGAACCCGAGAGCGACCGCTGGGTGTCCGAAACTGTGCGAGGTGCAAAAACGAAAGAGAATCGAACGGTGGAACAACGAATCCCCGAAGAGGGAGGGTTGCCCGGCAGATTCGAATGCAGATTGATGTGGTCACACACGATGCAACCGCACACCGATCGCATACGAAATCGAAGGGCCGCGGAGCACAGCCAGGTGGGGTCAACGAATGAAAGATTGGAGACAAACCGCGCGCTCGTTCGAGTTTCCTTGCCCGGGATCGTAATCGATGTGTTCACGGAACGATTCCGTGAATTCGACCGGTCGAATCGACGCGCGTACAAATTCGTTTCTCGATTCGTCGCGTAACGCTTCGAATACCGAACGCTTCCCGACGTTTCGCGGTCAATTAAAAGCTTCGTTGTCGCAACGACGTCGATTCCTTAATGCCGGATACGACGAGAACCGAGAAAGAGAGAGAGAGAGTTTGGATTTATAAATTCGCGAGCGAGGAAGCGAGCGAGAGAGAGAGAGAGAGAGAGCGAGAGAGTGAGAAGAGGAAAAGGAACGCGGAGAAGGTTGGGGCGTACGGAGGCAAGGGGAACGGTCTCGTCCAACGGTTCGTCAGGGGCATATCAATTGGCGCGAGCGGCCCTTTGCGTTTCTTCTTCGTAACGCGATTTTACAACTTCCTCGCAAGACGGCCCGATGCCGACCGTTCGACGAACCGAGGCTTTCGCGATCCCTGACGCGTCGCGGAATCGAACCGTGATTTATCCGCGAGTGTAACTGTACGAGCGTGATCGGCGTGCCGAATAAAAAGGAAGTGTGAGAAACCTTTGGCGAGAGAGGATACGCTCGCGGATCTATTTCGAGGAGACGCGAAAATCGCGAAAGTCTTTCGGGACGGTTTTCCTCGAAACGGACGCGCGCGTTCGTCGCGGAGGTCGGTTCCTAAAATTATATCTCGCTTATCGTTCGATCGCGGCTCGAGCGGATCGAGATCCGTATCGGAAAACACAGTGCGCGGCTCTGTTCCCCGAGTTCGTTCGCTCGCTCGGCCGTTCGCGTCTGCCGCCATCACGGTTTTTCGTTTTAAATTTAAATGTTCGGCCCTTCTCTCGCTCTCTCCGGTTCTCGAGAATCGACGAATTCGTTTTCGCGTCGCTCCTTTGTCCGGACGTTTTGTGCGGACGGAGGCAACCGAAACGTCCGCGCGATCATCGTTCGCTCGACTCGAGGAACCGTGTAACGCTAGAAGGTCGACGTTTCGGGTGCCTCCGGCCGGAATCTAACAATGTAGGTACCGAGATGCACGAAACAGTCCTTCTACGAATCGTTCGCGCGGACAACGTCTCCGATTACGGATGACTCCGCGTCCCGCGACGCGTCTCGATAAAGCGGATAAACCTCTTTTTTTACCATGGAAAAGTAAATTCCTCCGCAGGTTCGGTTCTCGGCTCGCAGGAATTCGTAGGATGACCCCGACGCGACCCGATCGAGGGCGACGGTTCGCGCGACGGGATTTCGGTCGGCGATTAGCATATTTCGAGCACCCGGTAGCTCCGCTCCGAGCACGAATAATCCGTGTATTTTCGAACTAGCCTGGCCCCGTGTTCGTGCGCGAGTTCGAGCATGGACGCTATCGGTCCGCTCTATCTTAACGACGCCAGATCTGTCGTTCCGTGTCTCCCCTGTTCCTGCCTCCGCCCTCCTTTCTCTTTCCTCCTTCGGCATCTATCTCGAATCCGAGACAGCCGAGCTACCCGATCTGGTGGCAGGTACAAGAGAAACTGCCGGAGACGTTGCTCTCGAAATGATTGATCTCCGATCCGTTCCTCCGTTACATGCTTGGTAGCGATCCATTTTTTTCTCTCTCGACCGTTTCTTTTCTCTCTCCTCGAGAGAAGTCCTCCGATTTACTCGCGACGCTTCGACCGGTACCGGACAAATTTTCTCGATCGCGCCTACCTTCTTGCCACGGACCGACGAACCGCTCTCCTTGACGAAGGTCCGCGCGCGGCTTCGATTCCGAAGCGATTGTTCGGTCATCGACTATTTCGAGCTGGCATCCTTTACCGGGACGAAGAAAAGATATTCGGACGGACGCCCGAGACCGTAACGTGTCGGCTTAACGTCACCGAAGACAGTCGCCTATTCCATCCTCGAAACCGCTTACCCACACCGCGCGACCGAGCGCACACGTATACGCGTCTCGTCCCGTGAACGAGCGAACCTGACACGCGTCGGACCGACGCGACGCGCGATTACCACGATTCCGAGGATCCGAATTTATTTACACCGCGAGGGAGCCGCGCGTTTAATTAACGATAACCGGGAAATCTCTTGTTTCGTCTATCGAGTCGAAAAGAAACGCGTTCTATCGGACAATAAATTGTTCGCCGTCGCGTCGGAGATTGATCAATTAAAAATGATGGATGGTATTCGGCGCTAACTTGGCCGAACTCGCTTAGGTATCCGGTGTTGGTTTTCGCTCGGGTCGCGAAATCGCGTCCGGTGACGAGATAAAGCTCGAGATAAGCTCGGAAGAGGTAAAAAAGACGCGTAAATTCGGACGGACGATTTGCTCGAGGATCGAGCGCCGGTCGAGGGACGCGCGTGCATCCGTCCCGGAGGCAGACGGGAGGAGGCGAAGAGGGAGAAGACAGTGGGTCTCGTTGTCCCCTCGTGACAACGGGAAAAGAGAAACAGAAAGACTTTTGTGACGGGGAGCGAGCGTAACGAGTGTTCGACGGAGAAATCGCGAGCCAATTAGCGCGAGCCGCAAATGAATCGTCCGCCTCTCCGCTTCTTTGCCCCCTTTTCACTCTCCTTATCGAGATCATAAGAGGGAGATCGCACGCTCGAAATCAAGATAGCGCTCGCTCGTACGCGGTTAACTTCCACCGACTATTTTAGTCGACCGATCGCGGATCGGAGGAATTTTCAGCGAATCGTAGGTCGTCGTTATTCGCGAATCGTGCCGAGTTTCCGGCCAGAGGAAGAAATCGCGACTCTACACGCCGGAGGCCCAGCGAAATGCCGAGAGTTCCTGAGAAAAACTCGTCCACCGACAGGATTTCCTCTCTTCGTCGTTGCTCTTCCGCCGCTTCCTGTGTCACACGCCGTTGAGCACGCTCCACCTACTACTCGTGTCCCAGGGGATCCGAGCGACGCACTTCGCACGTCCGGCAACGCGAACGACACCCTAATTGTTGGCGCAACACTCACCGACGTCGTCGAGAACCCCTTCGAGTCGACCACCCGAACGTTTTCGAGAAACGCCAACGAATTTCCGCCCGTTTTTCTCCGACCGCGTTGGAACTTGTCGCGCTAGTTTTCGCTATGAGCGAACGAAACAGAGAGAGAGAGAGAAAAAGGAGAGAAACGGAGAAGAGAGCTCGGTTCCACGGTAGAGGCTCGACAATGGATTTGGAGAGGCTGGCTGCGACAATAGCGATCCGATATTGCGTTACAGAGGCCGGGTTTACGTTCCCTGCCCGGCAAAGCGACGATCGGTGGCTTCGACGGTGGCCAAAGAAACGACCTTTTGCCTCCGCTATTTATCGACCGAGAGCTTTTATTGCGTGGATCTGGTATCCGTCGTTTAATACCGTGTCCCAGCCCTCTTCTTTGTCGGTATCTCCCTTTTCGAAAACATTGTATCGAGTGGCCCGACGAAAACGATCTTCCCTCGGTCTCGAAAGGGAGCTACTACTTCCTCCGATCGAGATCGGCGAAACGGAAGTACGCCGGTTCGCAGGATCGCGCGCGATCGAGTTCGTTCGAAAGAGAAGGTCGATCGATGGAAAGTAGAAACGCGAACGAGTATCGATGATCGATTACTTACGTTGTGTAGCTTGTAGTAGAGGCCGCACGCGTTGCAAACTGGCTCGCCGGCCTGATTCCTCCGCCAGAGCGTGGTGGTCGCGGTTTTGCAGTTGGCGCAGCTGGTGCCCGCCCGTCTCGCCGCACTCTGCAGCGACAGTTTTGGAAAAGAAAACACACAGATATCACACCCGTAATCGACCGATTAAAGGCTATTGCCTTAATAAAACGTTAACAAGCTTTTCGAGAAGGATCGAACGAGAGTTTTCGAGCGTAGGAGGGGATCGCGATCCAGGAATTCCTCGCGGTCGAGCAGTTTCCAGAATCGAGAAGCCACGAACCGAGACAGGATCGCGTGAAATCGCCCGGCCTTAATCCCCGTTCCCGAGGGATTCCGAGATCGAAACGCGAGCTCGCCTTCTTACCTGTGCACCGAACCTTTGCCCTAGCCGTTCTTCTCTCTCGAACGGATCGAGAACGGTCTTCGCTACACCTGTTTGCTCCGCGAGAACCGAAAGACGCTTCTCGTGCGTCCCGTCGAGCGACCTCGACTCCCTCTTCGATCCCCGTGTCTCTGCTCGATAGGACGATACGCAACGGCCGGTGCATCAAAATTTTCGCTCTTTCCGATTCGTGAACCGCTTAAACCCCCCTTACCGTACTCCGAAGAAACGCAAACAGAAGGAGGAGGAGGAGGAGGAGGAGAGACATACCTGGCGCGCATTGTCGGCGAGAGTACAAGGGAGCTAATGGAAAAGCGATTGAAAGCTGTTTGAGCGAAAACGAAATATCGACAGCCCCGAAATTGCGCCCCCTTTGTGTCTTCCGTCGGTGCGTCGCGTCACAATGCGTCTCGAGCGCGTGTCCACGAATATAAAGTGTCCTCGCAACTGTTTTTCTCTTTTCTTTCCTGGCCGTGTGCGCGCGTATCGCGCGGTATCTTCCTGTTTCTCGTTCGAGAGTGCTCGAATCGGGGCCCCCTTTTGTCGTCCTGACAATGACACGATTCCCCGCGCAGTTACCAAACTTTTGCCCCGCCGCTTCCGATTCGAAAATACTCTCTTCGGATAATAGCCGGTCGAGAGGAAATCGTAAGGTAGGACAAAGAGAAGGTAGAATTTTTCGGTGTTCTAGCGGCGCCAGGAAAAGAAAACGCGAACGGAGAAAAGAGGACGGAGACGAGGGTGGTTGGACGCGGTACGTAATCGTGGCTTATCTCACGGATCTTATCGAGGCTGGCGCGTAGCAAAAGGGGTCTGCAGGGTGCTCGGCTGCCCCCGAGGAACCCCTTCGCTCGGAATCGATACACGGAGAGAGCCACCTCGTCGATACGGAGCACGCTATCTGCTCTAGATCTTTGACACCCTCGTCGTCCAGCCTTTCACCTTCGCGCCCCAGGGCTCGACGACGACGACGACGGGGTGGAGCGGCCTGAAAATCGTCCGCGACGGGGCAGCTTCCTCCGGCCTAATGGTTATTAAACGAGGGAGAAACGAATTTCTGACCACCGTGCTCGTCGCTCCTCGTTATCGATCCTTTTCGACGCGAAACGTAACGCGATTACACGGGGTTCGTACGCGAGCGTATTCTTTATTACGAATCGTCCGTACGGTCTCCTCGACTGGTAGAGAACGCGACTGGACGAAGGTTCTGTCCGAGAGAACGAAAGAGGGGCGGCAAGAAGACCGACAGGAAATAAAAGCACGATTCCGAGCACGGGTGGAAGCGACCGGGTTCCGTGCGTGGACAGCGAGAGAGAGATAAAGTAAGAGAGAGAAAGAGAGAGAGAGAGAGAGAGAGAGAGAGAGCAAAATAAAATGAAATCCACGGACGAGAGACGGTCCGGAGAAGAGAAGGAAGAAAGAGGGACGAACTGACGCGGGGCCCAGGGACGAGCAAAACGAGATAATAAGGGAACAAGACCGGCAGAAAAATCGAATTGAAATAAAAGAAGGAGCACGGGAGGGGAGAAAACGAAGGAGAAGAGAAACGTGGATGGCCACGAACTTCAGAAATGTCATATCCGTCAGTGTCCACGGTTCCGTGCCTTCTGAAGGCAACCGGTTCCCGACCACCTAACCGATCAAGTATTGTCCCGGCTCGCGAACACCGATTACGCGGCCGATCTACCAAACTCCGCGCGCGCTTACCAGCGTTCGAATATTACGTTAAATCGTTTAATCTATCGAATAAATCGTTTCTGCGAACGCCGCGCCGCACCGCCTCGGCCAAAGATAAACGAACCGAGTTCGTGTCGCTAACTCCTGTTACGAACACCGGTTGGACGTTTAATCGAGAAGCGATTCGAGTTCGACCGAGCGGTATCCAACGCGCGGATATTTCAACGATCTAATCGCCCAGCAATGCGTGCACGGCTGTCCCGGTTGACCAGTCGAACGATCCACGGATCCCTTTCTCGGAAGATCCGGAGCGTTAACTCCGAAACGCGCCACCGATAAAGAACCTTCCCGACAAATCGTTCGCTACCCGCGACTCCGACGATTACCACCCGTTTTATCGTTGTTTCCTTTTATCGGGATTCGAAATTCGACGACGCTCTCTCGCCCGACTGCTCGATAAATTTCGATCTCCTACGAGACCGAGTGTCCGGCCATTAATCACCGAATCGGGCTAATTAATAACGCTTAATAGCTCCGACGAACGCATCTTGCGCAGCGTGTGCTCGACTTCGGCTCGATATCGGTAGCTAGAGCCACCGAAGCGTTTCCTTTTCCTCTCTCGTTTTCCCTCCCCAGTTATCTCGCTTATCGCGTTAACGGTTCGTTCGATACCGAAACGGTAAACGCGCGTCCAAGCTTTCGACGAACGCCGTCGCGCGATAAATTTCTCCAAAGTTTCGGCGTCGCCCGCGAACCGATATCTCTCGACAACGCTTCGAATCGTGATTACGATTGTTCCAGCAAAACGGAAAGAAAATTACGGTTCTCGTTCGACTATATTTATTGGTCGGTATCGCGGGCCAGCCGCATCGGCATACGAGCAATTTGTATCCCGATGAGAACAATGTTTGTATCGGGCTTGTATCGGCGTACTCCCTTCGCTTCTAGTCACGATTTAGTCAAGGATACACGGAGATCGTTATCGGGGCTACGCTCGTAAAACGATCGTTTACTCGTGGAGTACGGAACCGACCGGAAAAGTCTCGATCTCTGCTCCGCTCTGCTCTCCTCCGTTCGCGGTAATCCCCCGATTTACAACGATTCCCTTTGAAAACAATGGGTGGGGCATCGATTCGATGCGCGACTCTCTCCCTACCCGTCGCGCGACGCGATTTCTGTCTCGAAGAGGATCCGTCGACGATCGCCGAAACCGTCGCGTCGAGGAGGATTCGGGACGAGTTCGATACGGTTGGAGCGCGCGAGGCTGTCGTACGCCTACCGGGCCACTACTCGCTCGCGCGTTGCGCTTTATATATGCAACCGCAGGCCGCATAATATAACGCACCGGTGCGGTGGTACGGTGCAGAGCGTGCGCGCTTGTGACTGTGACAAGCAGTGGTACCACATTCCTAACACTAGCGCGCACTCGACCCACTCCTCTCTCTCTCTCTCTCTCTCGCTTTGCTTCCCCTTTTGTTTCTCCTCCCGTCC